CACGCAACTCCGTTAACCCCTTTCTCATCTCAACACAGTGTATTTAGCCTTCCTATAATTTATGCATTCACCAACATCATCTGAGCACCCACTGTGCAACAGGCAGTGTGCCAGACACCAGGGACATAACCCTTGTCTGAGAGAAGCTTCATGGAGCCATAATTCCAGCGCTGTGTGCAGAATGCCTTGTAATTAAATCCCGTGGATTTAAGGATTAGCCCTTTTCTTACTTAAGCTCACTTGCATCATTTTCCCCAAAGGACAAGCACTTCTCTAATGGAAATTTTCTCTTTCCTTTCTTCTGTAGCATTCCTCATTGCTGGTTTTCTTCTTTTGTTTTTCAGAGTTCCTTTTTCATCTCTCTTCTTTTTCCCATGCCCTCATTTTAAATGTTTCCAGCTTCATACTAGGTAACTTCACTTCGAAGTCTTACGGTTTCAGTGATTTCTGCTGCTTTCCTCAAGACAATAGCATTTGACTAGTTGTCCACATTAAATATCTTGGAGGCATCATTACTCCCTTGTCTTCCTCTCACAACAAGAGTTGATGATTCTGCTTCAAAAACAGCGTCCCAGTTGCCAGCCCCTTTGCCATTAGTTAACATATGGCAGCAACTGCCCTCTCCTTCCCTGTCAGTTGTGTGTCCTCCAGGCATTAACGATAGTAATTTTTTTTTTTTTTAAACTCTCAGTATCACTTTACTCCTTGAAATCTTGTAGTGTCTTTCTCACTGCCTGTTGGGTCAGGTCTCAGTTCTATAATCTGGCTTCCAGAGCTGCTGACCCTCTGTTCCTGATCCACTCTTCTGGTCTACTCTCATTTTAGCTACAGTGCTTAGCACATAGAGAGCGCTCACTGAATACTGAATGAGTAAGCGGGTGGTATGGAAAAATCTGACGTTTTGTTGTCAAAGGGCAGAATTAAATTTTTATCATGTAAGTATGGTACCTACTATTTACTTCTCAGTAGCTTCTCTCATTTTTAAATTATAATGTTATAAACATTAATCCAGTGTATTGTGTTTCTCTGAAATTCATATGTTGAAGTCCTAACCCCTAGTGGGACCTCCGAATTTGACTGTATTTGGAATCAGGTCTTTAAAGAAGTCATTAAGTTGGCCAGGCGTGGTGGCTCATGCCTGTAATCCCAGCACTTGGGAGACCGAGGTGGGCAGATCACAAGGTCAGGAGATCGAGACCATCCTGGCTAACATGGTGAAACGCCGTCTCTACTAAAAATACAAAAAATTAGCCGGACGTGGTGGCGGGCGCAATGGCGGGCGCCTGTAGTCCCAGCTACTTGGGAGGCTGAGGCAGGAGAATGGCGTGAACCCGGGAGGTGGAGCTTGCTGTGAGTCGAGATCATGCCACTGTACTCCAGCCTAGGTGACAGAGCGAGACTCTGCCTCAAAAAAAAAAAAAAAAAAAAGTCATTAAGTTAACATGAGGTCAGTAAGTGGGCCTTAATCCAATATGACTGATGTCCTTAAGTGGAAATTTGGACACAGACCTGTGTAGAGGGAAGACCATGTGATGCCATAGGACCCAGCCCTGCTGATGCCTTGATCTTGGACTTCTTGATTCTAGAACTGTGAGAAAATAAATTTCTGTTGTTTAAGCCACCTAATCTGTGATACTTTGTTATTGCAGCCCTAGTAAATTAATACACCTAGTGTCTTTTAATTCACTGAGATTCTAAGTCCTGTATCTGGGGAGACTTTATTATTGGGGAAAGGATGGACCTAATAATCTAATAGATCCTCTCTTTCCAACTCAAATTTCTTTGAGGTGTTTGAAATTTGTCCAGGGAAGTTAAAGGTTACAGTAAACTGTGATCATGCCACTGTACTCCATCCTGGGTGACAGAGCCCGACCCTGTCTCTTTAATTAAAAAAAAAAAAAAAAAAAAAAAAATTATCCTAGAAAAAAAGGGTCATCTTTATTATCTTTTTCATACTACATGATCAGCCACTCAATTTTTTTCCTCTCATTAATCTATTTCTCTTAGATATTCAAATAAAGCAAGAAACCATTAAAAAATAGTTAGTGCCCATTTATTTTATTGATTTAAAGAGATAATGAGTTGAATTTTTTAAAATTTCATTTTGATAGCTAGAGTACAGTAAGTTCTCTTTGCAATGGATGGCCATGCAGACTCAAACTTTCAGAGAAGACATTTACAGCAGTGAATTTATGTGCTTTACAGCAGTTTTCTAAAGGTTCTGGTTATGGGGGGAAAAACACAGTCAATCACTAAAAATTTAGTTTATTCAGCTTTTCCTAGTCATATTTCAGGTTGTCATGTTGTCAGACCTCAAAATGCCTCTCCCCTCCACCCCCCCACTCTCTACTCAGTCTTCACCTCCTCAGCAATGGTTGTAGTGGAACTGTGGAAATTAAGTAGGTTGTGTTAGAGACTTTGTTGGAAGACAACATTCAGATTTTACTTATCATCTGCTTAGATCATCCCAGATTACATACTAATTTCAGACTGATTGCACCTTGACAAGGCTCACCCGAATGCCTTCCTATATTATAATGTTACCATTAACATCTTAGGTGGATTTGAGTCCATTTTATTTTATAAATCCAGAAAGAGAGCCTATAATCCTATTCTAAAGAACCAGCAATTTATTTTCTAGGTCTGCTCTCAATTCTTGATGCTACGATTTTGAACTTCCTGCATTTTGTTCTATTATGTAGAGGTAGAGGATAGCTAGTCACCATGTATAATAGCTCTTTTTCTTGAGATATAAGGCAGTATTAAATTGCCTTTCTATCTTCTGTTTTCCAAATTGAGCTTTATTGGTTCTTTAGCCGTACAGTACTTCTGTTAAATCCTTAATTACATATAACACTTGTCATTAAAGCCTTTCCATGTTTTCTAAAACTCTCTTTAATGGTGAATCCAGCACTTGAGGGTTAGCAGTACAAGAAGACAGTTAGTTCCTACACTAAAATATGAATTTTAGACATTTTGGTTTCATGCTTAATTCTCATTTTCTATTTAGTAATCAAAATGCATAGCAATTAAGCAAAAGAAGATTATATGTTTCTTCTCTGTGACAAAAGTTAAAGCAGATATTTCAAGATAATCTTCTGAATTCATATGCATTGATAACTCAGATTCATAGAGATTAGGAATATATGCCACTGACTAGAACCAATATCAAGAATTTTCTTTATCTAACTTGTTGTCTTAGCATTACCTCTGACTAGTTGGATGTAGAAGATAAGTCATTTGACTTCGTTCTAAATCATTTTATTTATTTGTGAAACTGGGGGGAGGAGATCAAGATTAGATTATCTCTAAGCTGTCTTCCAGCCTAGAAATTGTACTGTATGCTAATAATAATGGCAGCTAATAAATCGTGGCTTTTAGTGGGTAAGTATATTTGGAGCTAATAAGATTAACTTATTTGAAATACATGTTGAGTACTACCTACTGTGTGCTGGGCACTGGTAATACCATGATAAATCAGACATCTTTCAAGGAGTTTACACTTTATTAGGGGAAAGAGGCATAAAAATAAGCAATTGAATATTCCTGGAGTGTTTCTGGAGTAGAAGTCTGTCTAAAGTGTATGGGGCACGGCCGGGCGCGGTGGCTCAAGCCTGTAATCCCAGCACTTTGGGAGGCCGAGACGGGCGGATCACGAGGTCAGGAGATCGAGACCATCCTGGTGAAACCTAACATGGTGAAACCCTGTTTCTACTAAAAAATACTAAAAACTAGCCGGGCGCGGTGGCAGGCGCCTGTAATCCCAGGTACTCAGGAGGCTGAGGCAGGAGAATGGCGTAAACCCGGGAGGCGGAGCTTGCAGTGAGCTGAGATCCGGCCACTGCACTCCAGCCTGGGCGACAGAGCGAGACTCCGTCTCAAAAAAAAAAAAAAAAAAGTGTATGGGGCACAATAGAGAGTCTGGTGAGTTTTGCTTGGCAGCAGGAGCATCAGGAAAGGGCCAGTGGTGAAAGGGAGCAATTATGAAGGCCTGATGCAGAGCAGCTGCAGCGAAGTGGTGAGGCAGCAGCTTGACTATAGTGGCTAAAGCTGGAGGATGAGAAAGTGGAAAGAGTGGCTCCTTTTTTCCCCCAAGGAGGTGGAATATGAACAGAAAATAACTGGGGGCAGGGAGCTGGGATTATAAGAGGTTGTTTGTTTTAAAAAAATGGGTGTGAAGGGCCTGTGTAAAGGTTCTTGAGAAAAGAGCGCGTAGAGAGGAAAGTTTGTTGTAAAGGAGATGAAGAAGATGTAATTAAGAACAGGGTTGAGAATGGATAGAGAAATAGATAAATGGATAGATATGTGATAACACACACATCAGAATGTTAATTGTGGCACCTAGGAAGTAGATCAATGAGTGTTCACAATATTCTTCCATCAACCTTTCTGCATATTTGAAAGTTTATAATATTGGGAAATGATTTTATAATATTGGGAATGGAGGAGAACATGGGTTGATAATTTAGCCTTGAACAGAATCAGGGGACACTTATTCCTTGGCATAGCAGGACATTATGGAAGGTCAAGGCTAAAACCCCAGCCACTTTTGTAAAGTAGAAGTGACTCTCACCTGCTAGGGTGGAGGGCCAAAAAAAAAAAAAACAGGATTGTTGAGCATGAAGGATGGAATAACCACTGGTGAGTGCGAGAGAGGACTGACCAGACTTGGGTGGTGATGCTCAGGTCTGATGAAGTTGCCACATTTGTGATTGTCCCTGGTAGTTATTAGAAGACAACAAGTTAGTAGGATCATTGAAGGGCCACTAGCTTATGGAAGCCAAAATAGAATGAGTAGTTGGCATGAATGAGTCCCTTCAATATTTGCCAGCAGTCTGTCCTAAAACATGTCCCAACCTCTCTGGTGCTTTGTTCAAGAGATTATTTTCAACCTTACTATCTTTTGCTTTGAATTATCTGAGATAAAAACAATGTTGCAAAACTTTGTTAACACTATTATTGTTAACATTTAACTCAGGTTATTTTGTTGTCTCCCTTAGGTAAAAGAAGAACGTCCAGAAAAAATACCAGATTTAAAATTATTGGTGGAGAAGAAATTTTTGGCTTTACAGAACAAGAATTCTGATGCAGACTTTCAAAATAATGAAAAATTTGTACAATTTAAACAACAGCTGAAAGAACTAAAGAAGCAATGTAAGTCAACATGCTTTGCTTTGGTTTGGCTTTTTGAAATTAGGGAACTGACTTGATGAACAGCCCAGTTAACTGATTTTATAAAGTTTGCTTATCTGCTTGGCTTGATCCTCTTTCTAAGTTGCTTTCTATTGTTGCAATTCTGTATTTTGTCTAATTTTTGGTTCAAATCAGCCTGCCCATTTCTGAAAGCCAACAGTTTCCACAAAGTGCTCAGAAAGTTTCCCAGCAGCTAGTTATGTGTATTGTCCCATTGCTGGGGAGGGGAATTGGGAAAACAAAATAAAACTGAAAACTATTTTATTTAAATACCAATGGTATTGTTCAAGTTTTAAACTGCTGTGCCATGCTTTAAGATAACCATACTTTGATTCTGGTTTTGCCGCTTTGGAGTAATATTAGCTATGTTTTCTCAGAAGACCACTTTATCTTCTCAACTATAGACCAAAATCTCTCTGATCCGTTTTAGCATTGTGGTAGTATAAAATTCCATGTGGTTTTTAAATTTGTTGCCTTCTTAATAAACTATTACATTCAGGTTTTTTAGTGGACATAATTTTGACTTAAGAATTAGAGCGGGCAATATAATTTTTTATACCAAAAAAAATTTTTAGACAGTATTTACCAGAAATAATGTATCTTTTCTGCACAGTAAAGTACATATGTCCTTTCTTTTCCCATTCTTCCATGTGGTCCACATACCAATTTTATATAAATGGATTTTTTCACATTAGCATCTATTTAGTCCTATAGTCTTTGCTTCTTTTAGGATTGAGAAGCTTGTATTTCTTAAAGAAGTGAATAGTGAAGCAAATAACCTTTTCTAACTTCAGTCTCCCAACACCTTCATTTACACACACATAGAGCAGGAATGTTGTATGATAAATGAGACATAAATTTACCTCATGTCCTTATATGTGCTTAATGTGGGGATTCGTATTTTGAAATAGGCTTTCTTTTAAATATAAGCATTTTCTTTAAATTGATGCTGAGATCTCAAAAAATGACTGAGGAAGCTGCTTCACTTTTGTCTATTTTACAAATAACTTAAGTTTCACAATTTGGAATGTTTTGCAATCATGATGAGACTTTTGTTTTTACTCTAGATTTAACCAGTAAGCATTTTCCCCATATTTTAAGTTTATTTTTTGTTCTTTTTTGAACAGCACAGCTCCCAACATTCTTCTAATGTATTTTTCACTCTTCCCTCAAATGATTAATAATTCCCCAAAGAGATAATAATTTGCCAGTGGCTTTCTGATCTTAAAGGTGCTTGTGAATTAATTGTACAGCCATGAGAATTAGACATTATTCCCTTAAATACACATGGGCCATATAGTCTTTATCCTTTATCCATGATACTTATTATTCAGTGGTGTGTGTGTGTGTGTGTGTGTGTGTGTGTATGTGTGTGTAGTATCTGGCACATGGACCTGTGATTACCAGCCTGAGGCCAACAAATCCCCTCAGTTGGGATGTAGAGATTAAACAAAGCTTTTAAAAGCTCACATTATATGACCTCAAGGTTGTTTACCTGGTCGTCTCGTGGTAATTAGAAACTCTGATTGGCAGCTTTCGATTTCTTGGTTAAAAACCTAAATAAACTGATTGTTTTAGGCATTTTTTCAAAGTTGTTCTCAGTGAAAAGTCCGGGAACTATTCTATTTGGTGCTTAGTGAAAATATTTTGAACTAATGTATGTACCAGTTATTAACATTTCTTTATTAAATGCAAAAGTTTTTTTGTCAAATAAATAGCAATTTTTCAATCTTGAAAAAAAAAAAAGATGCTAACGAATTTCACTTTTGGTGTTGGTTTAAGTAGCCAAATGTATTTTATTTGACTATTTGGAACCAGTACTCATAAATTGTGGCAGATTTAGCATCCAATCACAATTCCTGATTTTTAAGTAATTTTATAATACAGGTTGAAGGACAAATATTCAAAAATATAAATTGTTTCTTCTTTTGTTATTGTTTACAAAGTTATTATTCCACAAGGTAAAGGATGGAGACTTTTAGAATCATATACTCATGGAGAAACACTTTCTAATTAAGAACAGCAAAATGATAAATGTTGAAATCGTGGCTATTGTTTCTTAAATCTCTCTAAAATGGGGTTGGAAAAAGAAAGAAAATGTTTCCTCAGGCCACCAGTACACGTTATTTGGATAAACAGTCAAACCTCATGTATATTTATATTGAAAGAAATACTTCCTTATATAAGGTTTCCCTGTATATTGTAACACTGGAATTAAAATAACTTTCCCCTAAAATAATTAAAATAAAAATTTCCCCTAGAATTTTTTTTAAAAAAGTTTTTAAATTTCAAATGACAGAACAAACAAAATATTAATACTTTAAAAAAATTCTCTAAAAGTTTTTAAATTTCAAATGACAGAACAAACAAAATATTAATACTTTAAAAAAATTCTCTATAAGATCTGTATGCCTTACTTGCAAAATGTAATTTTAGTGCGGCATTATTAGCACTACTAATTAAACTTGTACCATGTCTAGTGGAAAAAATTTCTTTTAGATTTAACACTGCTGTGAGGGTTCTAATTAGGATCAGGCCCCCACAATATTTGTGTAGCTAGGTCAAAGGTACACTATGATATGTAAATGAGCTAATGAATCGTTTTGGGATATGTTCTGGTGGCAAGGAATTGCAATAATAATTTTTTTTTTTTTTTTAAAGATTAGAAAATAGAGGCTAGGGAGAGAGACTTGCTTCTAGATGCCTGTTTTGACAGAGTAAAAGCTGAAGAACTTTTATGGTCTACATAGATCCAAAGAGTTGTTTTATGAAAATATCCACCATGTCTTCACTAACTTTATTATGTGAGAACATAAATGCAGGGGATTGCATTTGACCAAATCAGGATCTAATCAGAGAAATGCCAGGAATCTTTTAGGTGGGAAGAGGCCAAGATAGAGCTTGCAATGAAGTTGTCTCCCACGTGATTTTGTCTCGTGGGCAGGCCTAGGTACACTGTGCTGGCAGTGTACGAGCTGTAAGTTGATCTGTCTGTGGCTCAGCAGCTGGTTCTCAAAGTTTTTGGTCTTATGCTCCCTTTACATTCTTTTTTTTTTTTTTTAGACTGAGTTTCACTCTTTTTTCCCAGGCTGGAATGCAATCTCAGCTAACTTCAACCTCCTCCTCCCAGGTTCAAGTGATTCTCCTGCCTCAGCCTCCCAAGTAGCTGGGATTATACGTGCACACCACCACACCCAGCTAATTTTTGTATTTTTAGTAGAGACAGGGTTTTGCCATGTTGGCCAGGCCGGTCTTGAACTCCTGACCTCAGGTGACCCACCTGCCTCAGCCTCTCAAAGTGTTGGGATTACAGGCATGAGCCACCACGCCTGGTCACATTCCTAAAATTTACTGAGAGCCCCCAGAGAGCTTTTGTTTATTGGTTATATCAACTGATATTTATCATGTTAGAAATCAAAACTGAAGAATTTTAAAAATATTAACATATTAAAAATAAGCCTGTGGCATGTTAATATGAACAGTATTTGATATGGGATACCACTTTACATTTTACAAACATAGAGGAAAAATTATTGAGAAGAGTGGCATTCTTTTACATTTTTGCCAGTCTCTTCAATTTTTGGCTTATTTAATAGAAGGTAGCTAGATCCTCATATTTGCATCTACATTTGGTCTATTTTGTTGATGTATACAAAGAAAATTTTGTCTCACACATTGGTAACTGAACTTGCTGAAAAGATCTTGCAGACCACCAGAAGTTCTCACTTTGACAACTCTAGATCTAGGCCAGGGGTCAGTAAACTCTGGGCCATGGACCAAATTCAGCCTGCCTCCTGATTTTCTGTGGCCTGCAAGCTAACAGTGGTTTTTATATTTTTTAATTGTTGGAGAAAAAAATCAAAAGAGGAGTAATATTTGGTGACTTGTGAAAATTATACGAAAATTCTATTTCAGTGTCCATAAATAGTTTCATGGCAACATAGTCATACTCACCTGTTAATGTGTTTTCTGTGGGTACTGTCACACTGTCATGGCAGGGTTGAGTGGGTATGTCACAGATCATCTGGTTAGCAGAGCTTATCATATTTATTATCTGGTTTTTTACAGTAAATGTTTACTGACCCTTGATCTAAATTATATTCAGAAATAATGGCAGTTTTTATTTTTTTAATTTTAGATTTTTTTTCCCTAAATACCATCCATTTGTCTCAGGTACATTCAGAACACTTTGAGGATTCACTGTGTATGAATTACTATAGTTGAGGCTCTGAAATAAAAAGTGAAAAGCAGGACTCTGTAAATGCAGAAGACAGTGTATACATACATGATATAATATGAGAACCATTAACAACAACTATCAAGTCAAAAGCAAAGAAAACATCAGAAACAAATGTTATACAGTGTGGGACCTAAGTGAGGAGAGTGAAAACAGGAATGCCATGCCAGTCAACTGGTACGGGGCTTTCTGGAGCAGGAGGTTCAGAAAGATTTTGAGACTGGGTTCAGCTCCAGTAGGAAAGAATGTGTTAAAAGATAACAGTGGGAAAGGAAAGGGCAGTACAGATGTCTAGTATTTACCATCCTTAGAATACAAACCTAACAGATATACTACACTCATTTAAAGATACTGTTACTCTAAAAATAATATATTTCAGTTACACACAATTATTTTCCTAATAATTATGTCTTATAGATATTACTGGCATTGGATATAACATCTTTGAACAAATAATTTTATCCTTTAGATACCCAGTGTCCTGTATGTTAGAAATAATTACGTCTGCCTCAGCTTACATCTCAGGGTCATTACTAAGATTAATGAGATACTGGCTCTGCTAGCTCTAAAAGCTTTAGATGTAAGTTATTGAGGAAGAGCTAGTACAGCATAATGGAAAGAATGTGGCTTAGCAGCCAGAAGACTTGGATTTGAGTCACTTAATAGTAGCCTGCTCTCCCTTCAGGTACCACCTATCTGAGATACTTCCAACGCTTGGAGGCAC